AAGGAAAAGAGGGCCAGAAGGCACAGGAGAGGTTGAAAAGAAACCTAAACGAGAAGAAAAACTGTCAGAAGGGGACAGGAAAAAATAACATGGACAAAAAGACTGAAACGTTAATAAGTTTTAGGTAGGTCACTCGCAACCTGTGCAAGCTGCAGCCCGCATGACGCTGCTAGGAAACGCAGCTAGCGGACACATCACGCACCGCACGGACCAAGGACGGTGCGCGCTCGGCCCAGTGCCCCGGCATCCCGCAGGGGATGCCCGCGCTGCCCACCCGCGCCACGGCAGCTGTCTCTCAGGAGCCCCTCTCCCCTCTATCTCAGGGGCCCATGCAGCGCAGCACTGGGGAAATCCCAGTTCTGCTAAGCAGGAGGTCTGGGACCCTCCATCTCCAGGCCCCTACGAGAGGGGTGAAAGGGGTGGGAGGCTTGGAGAGAAAAGCCAGAGATGGAGGCCAAGGAGGTCCCCAAGCATGGTGCCTTTCATACCAGAGCAATGAAGACTGGAAGCCAAGGGAGGACCGGGGACAGCTAGGGGAAGATGGGAAAGCCCAGGACAGGAGGCCACTGCCCAGGGAGGCACCACTGCACCAACACTGCTGGTGGACACCAGCTGGAGCAGGGCAGAGCTCTCAGGGGCCAACCCCCAGCCCCAGGCCACGAGGCTGGCAAAGCAGCAACGCTTTGCATGGGAACAGCCCCCGAGCTGCAGTCACCACCCCACCCCAGGCCTTGGCCAGCTCAGCCTTAAGGTTCAAGCACAACGCTGGGTGTCAGACCCCAAGGATGCTGCAGCCGAGGGGCTCAGGATCAGGTTATTCCCCAGCTGACACAAGTCACGCCAGACCCTACCCTACTCTGCAAAAAGGAGGAGCATGAAACTTTTTTCCAGTCCAGCATTAAGCACGATTCACAAGTGTTAACATCAGCTTCTTCCCAGGGTCTTCGAACTCATGGAGCAGCAAACAGCGACCGAGCAGCACCACCCTTCCAGAAACGTGGCTAAGACCCACCGCGGCGACCCTCAGACGTCGCCGGCCGGCACGTCCTCTCCCGCTGCGGGCACGCGACACCGACGCACAGAG